TGAGAAGCCGTTTCACATGCTAATCTAGTGAGTGTTAAGATTGTGATTTCTAGAAAAGATATTATAGCATAATGATTGTCTGGTTGGTGTTATGATGATCACCAAAAGTTGCAAGGTGTATGAAATGTCTACTTTCAACAAGTAGATTTGGTGATCCTTCCCTAATATTTGGTATCTTTCATGCAGATCCCTGCTCTAGTCTCATTCCAATCTAGTAATAAACTGGTCTGGCAATACTTATACTGAAAAGGCTTCTGGTTATAAGTCCTGTTCCCTGTAATATGTAAGTCAGTGTTTAGGCAATAAGCATCAGTTATAAGTATCTTGAACATTCTTGGGTATCATTGGACAAGTAAGAAATTAAATAGTTAACCTAGCTGCAGGTGGTGGTAAAGGGATTTATCTCTAATAGAACAAGCAGTAATTATATAGCTTTATTTATCATAGATATGACTCCTAGTGTCACCTTTCAACTTTCTTTTAATCTCCCCCAGTTAGAAATAAAGTTGTTCAATTACTAGTAAAAATACATGCTACTAGTCCAACAAAGAATTACTTTTGTCTAGTAGATTAGCCTCTATACCTAATATAGTTAGGAACAAGTTATAGCAAACGTTATTATTTGAAGCAATCCCAATAAGTGTTAGGTATAACTGATAACTGATACATTATAATATAGTCCTAGATAATAATGTCTAAAAATATATGTAAATATTGTTATTAAGGAATAAATATCCAGCCAGACAATTAACACTAGTATACTTTAAAAAAAAATAATAATAATAAAATAAATATAGTAAATATTCTCTTGATTGAATTTATAATATAGATAAAAACTGAACTTTTTTATTGATATTTATAAAATTTTTTTTTAATAATATTAATATAAATTAGAATCTGATTATATCTTAGTAACATAATATTTTGCAAAATATAAAAAAAATAAAAAACATCTATCAATTGGATTATGTATAAATACAAATGGATTGCATAAGTAAATCTTTTCTTTTTTGAAAAATATATTAATTTATATTGTTTTAAAAATATAAAAATTCAAAATTTACTTATTATATACTGAAATAATAAGAAAGCATAAATGTTTATAATTTATTTTCAAGAATAATTTCAAGAATTTCAATTTCAAGTAATATTAAAATACAAAAGTTAATCTGTATTTCTATTATTAGACAATTGTTCAAGTTACAAAATTGAAAATATGAATCTTGATATTGTCACTATTTATTTTTTTTTTTCAAATATTATCTTATGAATCCAACCAATAGATGCTGAAATCATTATAGCTTTCAAAAGATATTATTGTTATTTTTATCTTCAGTAAGTTATATTTATTATTTTATTAATTATTTAATTATTTTAGTTCTTTTCTTCTATTTCTTTATTTTATATTTTATATATTTATTTTATTTTATTTCACTCTTCTTATTTCTCTACCTGTTTTTATTTATATTTATATTTTATATTTTATTTATTCTTTTATTCTTTTAATTTTTTTATTTTCATTATTCTTTTAATTTTTATCTTTATTTTTTATAATTGAATAAAATTTTAAAAAAAAATTACTTATTTATTTTTCTATCTTCTAATTAATCTTTTTATTCTTTTAACTATTTATCTTTTTATATATTCATCTTTTCATTTTTACTTATTATTTTATTTATTCATTATTTCATTTTCTTTTTATCTATTTATTTCTTTGTATTAAAAAACAAAATATTTTAATATTTTTTTTTAAAAATTAATTATTTCACTTATTTATATTCCTATTTTCTTTATCTTACTTATTTGTTTTTTTATTTCCTTCGTGTTATTTACTTATTTATTCTTTTTCTTTTTTACTTATTCATTTTTTTTATAATTAATAATTATTAAAAATTAAAAAAAATTTTTTTTAAAAAAATTGCCTATTTATTTTTCTATTTTTTTTATTACTCATTTATCTTTACCTATTTATTTTTTTGTTTTAACCCTTATCTTTTATATATTTATTTTTTCATAACTAAAAATTAATAATTTTTTTTAAAAAAATTTTTGTTTATTTTTTTATCTTCTTTCTTACCTATTTATTTTTTTATTTTTATTTCTTATCTTATAACTTATCTGTTTTTTTTTGTAATTAAAAATTATAAAATTATTTTAATAAAAATATTTTTTAAAAAAAAAATTATTTGTCCAATTATTCATTATCTGTTTGCCCTTACTTATTTATTTTTTTATTCTTTCTTTTATAATTTATTTATTTTATTTTTCCTTTACTTATTAGTTTTTTGTAACTAAAATTATTAAAATCATTTAATATTACTCTTTAAAAAAATTTTTGATCTCCTATTCATTCTTATTTATTTATTTAATTCTTTTTCTTTTGTTTTTTTATTTTTTCTCTTACCTACTAGTTTTTTTATTAACTAAAATTATAAAAATTATTAATATTTTTTTTTTAAAAAAAATTATTTGTATCTCTTTTATTTATTTATTTTATTTATTTGTTCTTATTCTTTTATTTATTTGTTTTTGTTTACTTATTTTTTTATTTATTTATTCTTATTTACTTCTTATTTATTTATTTTTTTGTTCTATTGTTTATTTACTTTTTTGTTTATTTTTTTACTTTATCCTTTTATTTATTTATTTATTTTTGTTTTTTCTTTTCTATATTATATTTTTTTTCTTACTTATTTATTTATTTGTTTTTACTTATCTTTCTTTATTGATATTTTATTTATTTTTATTTTTATTATATTATTTGCTTTTAATTTTTTTTATACTTACCTATTTTATTCTTTATCTAGTTATCTTTTGTGTTTTTATTATTTATTTGTTTTTTTTGTCTTCCTATTTTTATATTTTCTATTATTCTCTCTTTTATATTTTTATTTTTTTACTTTTTCATCCACTATTTTTTTTTAAACTATAAATATATATTGAAACAAGTTGAAGAAAAAAATTTATACAAGATTTGAAAATAAATATACTTCAAACAATTTAATTTATTATCAAAAATTAAAATAATGTCACTAAGAATACTATTTATAACTATTGATATCATATAAAAATCCTTTCTAATATTGAGGCTAATATTATAGATATGAAGATTAATAATTCAATACTTGATAATTTTATCAAGACACTTGATGTCTTTTTTTTTCCTAGTATAATAAAAATTAATAAATTCTTGATTTTTCTCAATAAAAATATTATTTATAATATTTTTGATAATAATAAAATTATTACAAAACTTATAAATATATTTAAAAAAGAAGAAATATTATTAATTTAGATAAAAAAAAATAATAATATTGAAATACCAATTATTAATATTAATATTGCATTAGAAAATTTAGAAATTGTTTATATATTTTTATTTTAACAAGAAAATATAAAAAATCAAATAAGACTAATAGATATCCTTAAAAAATTTATTTTTTTTAAAAAAAATATATTTTAATATATAAGCTTATATAAATAAATATTTTAATTAATCAATAATATAATATAGTAATAAGTAATATAGTAATAATAATTAGTAATAAATAATAATATAAAATTTTTTTCTTTAAATGTATCTTTATAATTGGTTCCAAGAAAGTTGCATTTATAAAGATTTATATATATATATAATTATAAAGTGATATTATATAAATTGATACAATAAGATTTTTTGTAATAAAAATAAAAAATTTAAAATTTAATAAATTTAATAAAAGTTAAAATAAAATATTAAAATAAAAAATCAAATGTGTAATAATTGTAAATACAGTATATAATTATTTTAATAATTATTAATTGAATTTTTTTAATATAAAATTTCATGACTCGAGCTTTAAAATCAATATTCATTAAATAAATTTATGTATTGATGAAAATATTAATATTTAAATTTTTTTTAACAAAATTTAAAACCAATTAATCTATGCCATATGGGTTGGTACACAGCAAAACCATGCTTTGAGACAAAATCCTTATTTGGAGATGTCGGCGATTATCAATTTAAATTTATATATCGAGCATATAAAATTAAAAAAACTGCGCGCGAGATTGTAACAAATTATAATATATTAATATATATCCAAACTTTTATCACAGATAAAGGACGTTCTTGGGAGTATAATCCAATAAAAATTTCAATTTTTGTTAAAACCTTTCAAAGCATGGTTTTGCTGTGTATCAACCCATATGATTTATGTGACTTATAATTTAGGATGATATTTTAGAATAATAAATTTCTACTTTAAATTTCGATTTACTTTCAAAAATAGCTTACTGATATGCATAGCGTTAATATATAATTCGATAATTGTGATGGTTTAATTTGCATACATCAGCTTAATAGCTTTTATAAGAGATTATATGTTTCGAATCCAAACATTAAAATATTGAATTGAAAATTACAATTGAAAGAAAATATATAATATATCTTTTATCGTTGTTATTTTGATTTTTTGTAATGCTAAAGGACACAATATCCGTTAAGTGATTTTCAATGTATAGTTGTACGAACCATGAGAACACCCATAATGAAATGAGGCCAGGGACAACGTAGTTCCAACATTCTCGGATTTCTTTATTCGGATGATTCGAATATTCTTTATCAAAATACGCAGCAATTTGTAAAACATTCCACGTTAGATAATCAAACAGTAAATAAAAGAAGCGAGTCTTTGGCCTGAACTCAAATGACGTAGTTTAATATTGACTGATATTCAGAATCATTCAGGTTCTCCGTTATATCATCCTCATTTGGCAGGTGGAAGGCTAGAAGTAGAAGATATGACCTTCCTAGTTTCCACTACTTTTTTTACACAGAAGGAACGAATTACGTAAGAATTATCGATCGCGAAATAAGTAGGGGCGAGATATAGGCTATATAAACGCTTTGTACAATATTTAAATAGATCAATAGAAAGAGATAACAAATTAATTCTTGATTTTGATTTAATACATACTGTATCTGAAATAATTTTGTTTTCAAGTGTATCAACAAGATGAAGACACAACTCCTTATTCCTTTACTATTAACCCTCTTCATCACCTTCGTGTTCTCTTATCCGTTAAGAAATATCGACGTCCACAATGAAAAGCGTGACAATACCTCCACAAATGCCGATGACGTTGGTAAGTCTTTCATCCAAAATGTTCTTTCTTCAAACGTGCACTGTACACTGAACTGATTCTTTTCAATTACATATAGTGATTGACAAAAGATGTCCACCCATTATCAACTGTGCCGGCGAATGGGTGACGTGTAATTACTGCTCAAGTGACGCCCAGTCGCAAAAACGTGATTTGGAGTCTCTGGTCGCTAGAAAAGATCGTAGATCAATTGGTTGCCTGGAGTTTGTGTATGATTGTTTAGGAAACAGGATTGCGTGTAGTGGGTGTAGTTAGTTAATATTCCGTATCAATCTTGTAAATACATCAACTGGCCATCGCTATTCATTCATATATTTAATTATTCCAACAATCATCTTATTTTGTTTTCGGTATTATTTTGACATTAATTATTAATAAAACATATAATCATTGCATCCTGTTTTTCATGAAAATTTTATGGCAATCAAGTTCTATGTTTCACCTTTGCAAATAGTAATTATTTTCAATCGAAAACTAGTACGAAAAATAATTAAATAGATTTGGTATTTTCACTTCTTTGGAAAAAAAAAATGCACAAACAAGTGGACCCCTAATTCTCTTTAGTAATCTCGTCTTAAAGTTCTGGGATAGAAATTCAACCAATCAGATTGAAGATACGTATATAATTATCAACTCGCGTAATTGATAATCACCTCTCACTTAAGAAATTTCGTGACATTCGTGAGTTCAGTCAGTACTTGATAGCATGTCATACTTGTGCGCATTAAGAATACGTCCAAGTCCGGGATACCTTCGTCAATGTGCGTCTGGAAACCTGAAGATTAAATTCGTTAGGTTCATCGGTGAAAATAAGTTCTTTTGGGGCACTGGGAAAAGGCGTTACAGCGCGAACATTCCCAAAGGTATGCTGACGTTCGAATTCTTTAATTTTTTTCGAACGCCACTACCAATTATTAATAATTTTTTTCTGAAAAAAAGGCGGATTCAATATCAATCCTGCTTCGCAAAAGGGTCCCGTGCTCGAAGAGTTTGGGTACGACTTGACAAGATTCGCGATGGAAGGAAAATTAGATCCCGTGATCGGTCGCGAAGAAGAGATTAGGCGCACAATTCAAGGTGCGAGGCTTTATCTAATAGGTTAATCAAATAAATAAATTAATGAGCGCCGTCAGTTTTCCTTCATCATTATCTTTTTTTTTTTTATGTAGTGTAAGTAATGTAATGCATTACACCTTTGTATGTTCTGGCAAGGTTTTTCATTCAAACTGGAATGACATTCCTTTTCGCGATAAACCATGTTGTCCAGGTTGTCACGGAGAACAAAAAATAATCCTGTGATAATAGGTGAGGCCGGCGTGGGAAAGACCGCGATTGTAGAAGGATTGGCGCAAAGGATTGTTAATGGCGAGGTTCCCGAGAGTATAAAAGATAAGAGGGTGATAGCACTAGATCTGGGGTCGATAATTGCTGGTGCGAGGTTCAGGGGTGATTTTGAGGATCGATTCAAGGCAATTTTACAAGAGGTACAAGAGGCCGAAGGGAAGATCATTTTGTTTATCGACGAAATCCATAATCTTCTTGGCTTGGGAAAAGCCGAAGGATCTATTGACGCTGGTAATCTGCTTAAACCAGCGTTGGCCAGAGGTGTCTTGAGATGTTGCGGCGCGACGACAATCGATGAGTACCGTAGGAACATTGAGAAGGACCCTGCGTTGGCTCGACGATTTCAATCGGTTATGGTGGCAGAGCCAACTCCGGAGGAGACGATATCGATATTGCGCGGACTGAAAGAAAAATACGAAGTACATCATGGTGTAAGAATTACCGACTCGGCGATAGTAGCCTCTGCCACGTATTCCTACAGGTATATTACCGACAGGTTTCTTCCCGACAAAGCGATTGATCTGATAGACGAAGCGTGCTCCAAGTTACGATTGCAACAAGAGAGTAAACCGGAAACGGTAGAAAAATTGGATAGACAAATAATTACGCTTAAGATCGAGTTGGAATCATTGCGAAAAGAAACCGATGTGATGTCCAAAGAACGACGTGAGAAATTACAAGAGGAATTAGAAGAGAAACAAAAGGAATACGATCGGTTGATCGATATATGGCAAGCGGAAAGAGCAAAGTTGGAGGAAATCAAAAAGATAAAATCACAACTAGAACAGGCGAAGATTGAGCTAGAAGCCTCCCAACGTAAGGGTGATCTTAGTAGGGCAGGTGAGCTGAGATACGGAATAATTCCTGAGTTAGAAAAGAAATTGCCAAAAGAGAGCGAAGAATCCTCTGGCGAATCATTGATCCACGAATATGTCACGGCTGACGATATCGGAGCCGTGGTTTCGAGGATAACCGGGATTCCAATACATAATTTGCTAAGAAGTGAGCGAGATCGATTGCTGCATATGGAGGAAAAATTGTCAGAAAGAGTGGTCGGTCAAGAGGAGGCGATTAAGTCCGTGTCTGAAGCCGTTAGGATGAGTAGAGCCGGATTGCAAAATCCCTCGAGACCGATTGCCAGTTTCCTATTTCTCGGACCCACAGGTACTTTATCGTCAGGCACATCTGATACTTTATCGAGAATATAATTTCAAATTGTAAATCAATTATATTATCGTGTTCTGTTATCAACTTAGGCGTTGGGAAAACGGAATTATCTAAGACGATAGCAGAATTTTTGTTTGACACTGAACATTCTATTATCAGAGTTGATATGAGTGAATATATGGAGAAGTTTGTTTCTATTTGATTCTTTGCTTATCTGCCTGAATGTTTGATTGTGCTTGCGAATCGGACTAATTTTTTAACATGATTATAATAGATTTGCTGTGTCAAGGCTGGTGGGTGCTCCACCCGGATACATCGGTTATGAAGAAGGCATGTACTTTTGTTCTCGATATTTTGAGCTTGTTGATTCTAATTAAGCGCACGCTTTGTCGTTTGCAGGCGGAGAGTTGACAGAAGCGGTCAGAAGAAAACCATTTTCCGTAGTGTTATTGGACGAAATGGAAAAGGCTCACAGAGGTTAAGAGGTTTACTCTACCTTTAAACCGAAGACTTCAAAAGAAGCTCACAGTTTTGTTTTGCTTGTTAATCGAATAGATGTTTCTAATTTACTATTGCAAATATTGGACGATGGGTATATTACTGATTCACAGGGTCGAAAGGTATGTTTATGAATAGAAAAATTATGCACTTAATCCGTTATGATTGTCTGTGTTCGTTATGCGAATCCTTTAATTCATATTGTGTCCACCGAAAATCTAGATCGATTTTCGAAATACAATAATAATAATGACGAGTAATCTAGGTGCCGACATATTGGCATCGACATCAGAAATGGGCGGTACCGAAGGTAAAGTTAGTGAATTGACAAAGAGGGCGGTTCTTGACGTTGTGAGAAGACACTTTCCTCCAGAGTTCGTCAATAGGGTTGATGAGATGGTACATAGTATTTCGCATTATTTTTGTCAAAGTTCTTTTAGAGCACTTATAGATTACATGTTCTACAACCTTAACAACAGATCGTGTTTAACCGATTATCGCCTATGGCGTTTGGAGAAATAGTTAATGTGAGGTTAAGGGAAGTGCAGAAGAGATTGAAGGATAAGAATATCACGATTGAGGTTGATGAGCACACTAAAGCTTGGTTGGCGGAGAAAGGTTATGATCCCGTTTATGGTACGTGTGATTAATCCATCCAAATTTAATTACCGACTTTAAATAAATTCACACACGTGCATATTTATAAATTTTTAGGAGCGAGACCACTTAATCGACTTATTCAAAAGAAGATAGTTAGTCCTTTGGCTCTGTACCTGATTGAGGTACATTGCATTTATTTTTATTGATACTTTAACTATAATACAGCACATCTTGGGCTTCAGTCTAGTAGCTTAGATCCAGTATATACTCTTCTAATAACTATACTATTTGTTCGCCTAAAATATAGGGATCGATTAAAAGCTTTGAAAAGGTGAAGATACATACTGAAACTATAGATGGTGAAGAAGATTTGGTAGTTGTGAAGAATCATGAAGTTATTTGATATACAAGGAGAATAATCATGAAGTTATTTGATATACAAGGAGAATCTATGTTGATGAAGAAGTGGTTGGTTGCCAGTGAACATTTTGTATTCGATTTGTGATTATTATTATTATTTGTAATATGTCTATATCCAAAGTGCTCTAAATTTACCTCGTTCATAGTTTCATTCAGATATCCATCTCTATAAACAAATAATGATCCCCATTTTTATCTTTATGCTTTAACGACTCAAATGTTCCGCAATGAATAATAAATTCTTTGGGTAAATGTTGCTCTATAAAATTTTTGGCCGAACCAGTGTACAATTTCCTGTAAAACTCCGATGGTGGTAATATCGGATGGACTTGTACGTTCGCTAAGTTATCCAGGAAACCCTGTCGAACCAGCCTAATATGCCCCTGACGGTCCGATTCGTAGATGAGTCTTTCTTCGAAATCTTTTAGGGAGCCGATGGCAGTCACATAGCTAAAATAACGGTTCATAAGTGCGAGAGAGGTGGCAGGTGTGAGTTCACGGAATAGTGAGGTTGCTTGGAACGCGGGAAAGATGTCAAAAATCAATTTCGAAGATTCTTTGTATAACTCCGGAAACCTGAACTTGTCGGCTAGGACAAATGTCAAAGAAGGATTCTCTTGAAACTTCTCTTCGAGAAAGTTTTTTGACGCATCAAATACACTTTCGATCTCGTATTTATCAGCTAACACAAGAAACTCTGACACGTTTGACCACGTGACCGGAAAAAACTTCTGAGGGTAGAGAAACGAGACGAGATCCGAAAATTTGGAGGCAGATGAATCGGTGAGGCTTACACTAGGTATGGGTTTATCGCTATCGCTATGTGTGGTTGACGATTGGTTGACACAGGAAAACATATCTGCGAATACTTTCGAAGATAGAGATAATATGTTCTTATGAAGGCGAAATATGGTGTCTTGCACGACCACCAAAATGTCACCATCTTCGTAGTAGTGTAATTGACTTTTGTTTGACATCTTGTAAAAGAGAAATGGATTATAATCGAATTGCAAAAGGTGTTGAATGGTATTAATCGGAAGTTGTAAAATTCAATTCTCTCTTTTAATAATCACTTTCTGAATTGAAAACAAGGAAACAATTTTATGCACGTACATTCCGTTATTGGAATGTATTACACGTATTACGTAATTTCCGCATACACAATGCAGCTGTTATGTCGTCTTTTTACCTAATGTGCCTTTGTTAATCGGATCGCGAATTCCTTTGTAAAGCCGCTACAAAGTCATCCTCCTCTTTTGAGGCTATTGTTTTATTCTTATTCACTGCGGCTGCGCACAATTTAAAGTTTAACTTTTCTGCAATCTCGGATGGATTGTAACATATCAATAGTATCAATAGTAAGTAATACTAGGCATTACTAAGTATTATTACTATTTCCTACATGATCTCCAGAGAGAATCAAGGCTCCATCAAGCAAAGCCCGGAGAAAGATCCCACAAACGCCATTTTCATCTCGGTCCATTACAACTCCACAATTCTGGCAATTGTACATCTCAGACCCTCCAATACTCTTTATGTTATCACACCAGCTACATGTTTTTGATGTGTAAGCCTCATTTTGGATGATAACATGGACTCCTAACTTCTTAGCCTTGGAAATTAGATGTTGACGGAAATGGTAATGTGCCCAGCAGAGCATTTTTTGCAGTCTTTCATCTAATTTTGCTTGTTTTGTAATTTACCATGTCAGATATCACAAAAGGAGAAATGACAATAGCATCAAATTCATGAGTAAAAAAAGCAACAGATTTTTGATAAATTTTACTATAATTTTTTGCCACATTCATGAAACTGCATGATCAAGCTAGCAGGCCTTGTGCTTCTTATGCTTCAAGGTAAAGGTAGCCAGCTTATCTTTTTCTAAAATGAGGTCATTCATATACTTATACATATGAGAAATTCAACCTACATCATATTTGCCAATTTTATTCATACCTTTGAAAGGAGAATATCAAGTAAAGGGTATTCAAATGTCAAGATCAATGAAGATTGCATGGATAGAGCCATTTGCTTGGGTTTTGCAAAACTTTTTTTGCTTTTTATAGATCCAAACAAATGTTTACTTATTGGTTTTTCAGAAATAGCTAAGTTTGCTATCAGACGTGATTTTATATGAATAGTGCCACTTATACATGTGGTATAGATTATTTGCTGTTGACTCAATTCTCAAAATTCTTAAAAATAATTGCATCATGACTTAATTATTTATATATTTTAATAGTGACTTAATTAATTGCATCAAGGATCTACAAATTTCAGCAACATATATAAAGTCTCTTGTTGTTTTTATATTTTTTTCAAAATAAAAAGGTCACAAAGTATTAGGTTTGTGCTGATATATGTATGTGTATATTGATTGAGTATGAAAATAAGAAATATAAAAATGATTCAAAAAATTTTACTAAAATTATAGGCATGAATTGTAATAGTATGATGTGATACCTTACATGATTAAAAAGAAAGAGAATATATTGGAGTATCCTCTTGTTACTATACATTTTGTTTAATAATATCATTTTATACAATTAATACTTAATCAATTGTTTCATCTGTAATATTGACTAGAGCTGAGCTAAAGCAACCTTGTGAGAGCATGCCAAGATAAACAACTGCTATACAAAATTTTTGTTTATTCCAAATTGCAACTTTTTGAAATTTTGCATCTTCTTCTTTATTTGTGTCTTTACTAGCTCTCATGTCTACATAGAACTTGAATTTTTCTTTAATTGATATTAAAAATCTGTCTATTATGTAACTAACTTAAGTATAGAGTTATGATGATTCGTGTAATATAAGGCTCTTGTAACCCTAGTAGTCTTAGTTTTGCATTATAAATTTTATTTTATTATATATCTCATTAGTTATAGAATGTCGGTTCTTTCACAGCACAATCATGCTTAGAGTCTGTATATTTTATATATTCTAAACATGATTTTGCCGTGAAAGAACCCATGTCATGTTTTTAAACAAATATTAAATATACAATATAAATGATTTTTCTCATTATAACATTCCTTGTTACACATGATTTCTAAACGATACAAGATAAAACATATATATTTTGTTTATATTTTGTATTATATTTTAACTAATTAGTATTTAGAAGTTTTGTTATTACTAAAAAAAAAGAGTATGAATTTTTTAAAATCTTAAATTTTTGAAAAAAAAAAAAAAGAAAATGTTTTTTCAATATTTTTTTTTTATTAAAATTAATTTCATAAATAAAATTTCTTTGTATTTCTTTGCAAATAAAAAGTTGATTTTTTTTTAAAAAATAAATAAATTAAATTAAAGCTGTTATATAATGATATTGTTAAGAATAACAAATAAATCCATTATAAAAAAATACTAAAACCTTTTTTGAGATTTGTATTTTTTAAATTAATAAAAGAATTCATAAAAAAAGGTTTATATACATCTATATAAATTTATATAAATCTAGGATTTATTTGTTACTTAAATTATTAAATTATATAAATTCATTGTTTTTTAATTTAAATATATTCTTATTAAATATAAAAATTTATCAATATTCAAAATTATTATATTGATACCATATAATTAACTTGTATTATTATTTTTTTGTTATAATTTCAATTTTTAAACTCGTGCATATGTTAGAATAATATAATACAATATTTTAAAACTATGGTTTAAGATAAATCTGAAAATAAAATAAGATTGGATTAAAAATTAAAAAAAGATTATACTTTTTTAAAAAAAAATCAATTGTTTTTAAATAATTCAAGTTTATCGAATGATATTAATATATTTAAGAAAATAAGAAATGATAAACCAAAAAAAAAAAAAGTTTTTTTTTTTTATAAAATATCATGTACATTATATACTGTATAATACCATTTTTATTGTTTAAAATGATGTATTAATATTTTATATTAAATGTGAGACTTTATTTAAACAATACGTTTACTGTCATGACATTAACGATCCCATATATTATTATTATTTTTAAAAATTTTATAAACGGTTATTTTTTTACTAGTAATTTATGTTCGAAACCAATTTTTTTACTAGTAATTTATGTTCGAAACCAAAAGTTGTTAATTAAACGCATCTGGATTAAATTTTTTAACTACTGAAAGAATTTCTTACAGAGGTTGTTATATTGTTTCTCGATAATTACAATATATCAAAGAAACACATTGTCACTATAGTATTCAGTACTAGATTCGAGCTTATTTGAATCGCCAATTATCATATCGTGTATAAATACATAACATATATCATGTAGTGTAATTTGGACTTACCACGAAATAGAACTTTTTGGTGTCAAAATTTCTTTTATCGAGTGGTCTGATTCCCAAGGAATTAATGATCTTTTATCGAAGGTGTTGACCATAACATAATGTGACGTCCTATATGGATTGTATTTTGCGGCCACATTTACATATGTAGTTGTAATTACTTTCATGGGCAGCAACTATACAATCCAGTATTAGGTTCGTCCACATGTAAATCATACGTAAATCATACGTAAGTATGTTGTTTTTTCACATGAGTTTCAATCAGGAGGGCCAATACGGAATTAATTTCTGACGTGATAAAGCAAGCAAGTCTGAATGCTACTAAGATCTAGATTCTTGTCTTTCTTTATCAATTCATAAAATTCATAAGAAATGTCCAAAGTAAACAATTCCCTCGTTGACCTGGTAAAAGACATCTCACTCCTGCTGACTTACGGCTATAATTATGATGTAATCGTGAGATGCGGCCGTAAGCCTAACGAGGTAGCCGACTTTAAAGCTCATTCAGCTATATTGGGCGTTCGCTGTCCTTATTTTCGTACGGCTCTTTCTTTAAACTATGCAACAAGGTGGAATGGTGTGATGTTTGTTCGCAAAGAGAATATTGAACCTCACATCTTCAGGTTGTTGATGAAGTATGTATCACAATTGCGAGAACATTTTGAACATTATAATGATAGCGTTCTTCTTATTTTCCTCTTTTTTAACATCGATCACTTGCATGCAATGAAGATACTTTTATACTTCAATAATAGATCTCGATACACTTTCCCTCCCTGAACTCATGAAACTCCTTATTGCTTGTGATGAATTATCCCTTTCCTCGGTCGTTAATCGAACCCAATCTCACATGATTGAAAATCATTCAAAACCGCTTCAGCAAGATCCTCTCAACTATCTCACAAAACTCAATCATTGCTCACGATGTTCCACCCTGAAGACGTATCTCGTCGATCAATTTTGGAGAACACCCACGTCATCATTCAGCTCACCATACTTAAACTCGCTGAACAAGGAACTAATAAGGGAATTATTTCAAAAGCAACATGAAGGACTGGATGAAATTGAAATTTGGAACAGATTGTTGGAATGGAGTGTGGTTCAAGCCAATTCCTCTTTGTTCGATCCTTCATTGCTATACTCTTTGCCTTCCGGCATTTCTTCTTTATATTCTTTATGTTACGATCCAAAGAACCACAAAGAGTTTGCATTAAACGAATTTGAAAGTTGGAGTGAGCAAGATTGCGAATTAGTAAAATCCCACATCTCTGAGTTTATTAACTTGATTCGATGGCAAGAAATTTCATTGGAAGCTTTTAATACTCATGTCTCTCCATATCAAAAATTGATTCCGGCCTCATTCTACGCCGAACTTTTGACCGATTACACTGCTTCACCTGATAACAAATCACAATCTCAATCCATTTTCAATTATCATATTTCTCAGTCTTCTGATTACATGATATTTCCTCGAAACTTTCCCATACGTCAATATTTTGACACTGCACTACTCTCGGTTTCCCATTTTAACACAATTTCAGCGTGGATCGCTCGAAAAGATTCCGACTATTATAACAAAAAACCATTACCTTATAAATTTACTCTGTTGTATAGGGCGAGTAAGGATGGATTTGATCCCCAAGTATTTCATGAACGATGTGATAATAAAGGGCCCACAATAATGGTGTCAAAGCTGTACCTGGGAGGAAAATTAATTGGTGGATACAATCCTCTAGACTGGAAACCTCAAGGACAACAAATGGTAGAAGGAAGAATAGGGTCAGAGGCATCAAAAATTGAAACTACCGCAACCACCTCCCTATCCACCAATAACACACCAAAGAGATACTCGTGGGTGACCACCAATGACTCATTTTTGTTCTCCTTTCAACACTTACTACCTACCACCGGAATCATTTCACGCGTGGTGAAATCCCTCAGTCAAAAAGCTGTTTGCTATGATCCCAAAAGTGGACCAGGCTTTGGAGCAGGATTAGATATAGTAGTATCCAATAGATACAGAACAATAAGCACCTGGGGGTATTCGGTTTATCCAGAAGTACAATGGTTTTTATCCGAAAATCATATGGAATTGGAAGATTATGAAGTGTTTTCGGTGGAGCGAGATGAAAATGTTGAAATTTGTGATGAGGATGAAGTTGAGGAGAGAGAGGAGAAAGAGGAGGAAAATGATGAGAAAGAGGAGGGGGAGAAGGATGAGGAGAAGGATGAGGAAGAGTTAAAACAAGAAAGGATAGATGAGAATTGTAGGAAAGAAGGTGGTGAGAGTGGAAAGGAAAAAGAGAAAACAAAGGAAGAGGTGATTAGCAGAGAAGATAATGTGAGTAGGCAACATTATGAAATCGAAAGTGTGTATAAAAGAGATTAAGCACTTCGAAATATATTGTTGTAATTCATTGATTGCATCCTTTAAAGATATCATTCTCCTTGGAAGTAGAAATAGATATTATAAAATATTATGTCATTGGTTACCTTGAAAATTTCCTTTGTATTCTGTGAAAACTACATGTCTTTATTTTTTGGACGGCGCAAACGCGGGTCCATTCACAAAATATAAGATGAAAGCATTTTCCACGTGACAAATAATCGACCTTTTCGCGCTTTAAGCATTAAACTTTAGATTTTCGACAGATATGTTAAATTCTTTTTTTTTTTAGATTCATAGTAAATAACAAATATCTTATCCATAAATGATAAAACACTATAATTATTAACATGCCACTAGGAATGAATTTTATTATCTAAATGTTTATCATGATCATTTATTTGACCAAAACTTACAATATCATTTGATTCATTATGTCTAATAAGGCTTTCCTGTACTAAATAGGTGAATTTAAAAAGGCCACCAAATTCTTGATACAGAAACGCAGTCAGTTGAAAAAAAAAAAACAAAGTTTATTATAATGGTCTGTCCATCCAAAGAATAATTTTTTTTTTCTAGTGAAGTTCATTGTTTACAATCGATTTTTTTTTTCTTTGATAAGTCTAGCCCTTTGTTTATTAAGTCATTATTAAGAACAAAGTCAAAATATGCGCTGATACAATCGACAATAAATGTGCTAAGCTCCGTACGGTGCACGCAACATTCTCATGTGGAACAAAAAAAAAAGATTAAAAAACTGTTCCGTCTGATTTAACTGCAATTGGGGGACCTCGAGTAATAGGACGTAAAGTTGCAGCAATTTCGCGACCAGCCTAAAGTTATCAAACAAAACAAAACACGATTAAGAATATAAACATAACATCTTGCTTAGCTAAAATATCATGACATGCCTTCCAAGTTCCAGCCTCAAGCATCTGAGCCAGGGAAAATTGAACTTTCGATAACCCGAGCGCATCTCTGATTTTGTCCGCAACCACGTCCAACAAAACAACCGTAACAGCACGCCATTCAATAATTAACGGATCATTAACTTCAAACATTGGTACGATTTCGACATCAGACTGAACGGTGGACGATAATTTATTTTGCTTATAATAACTAATACCGCGTTCGAAGTCAGGTTCTTTCAAAGTCAGCACACCAGTATCAACGAAGAGACCACCTGTCACAAAGAATATCAATATTTTGGTTGGATTTCATATATATATGTGAAATTTGAAATTTACAAACCATTTCGGTACTCTGGTAAACCGGTCATCTGTTCAATTCCTTCAAAGGTGATTCCTGAAATTCTTTTCATTGGCTCTACCAGCGAATAGGTGAGCCACTGAGAAAGTTTATGAAATGCTACCAAGTGATCAGTAGAGTCGGGACTAGAACTCGGCAACCTCAGCACCTCACACGGCCAGACATCTCCAAGCGAAACACCGTTTAGAGAGGTTCTGGTCGGCGGCCAAACTTCAGAAAAGCCGTAAATTACAATTGTCCACAATGTATCGATTTTTACAGTAGTATCGGTTTCGTTGATGGTGGAATTTAATAATAAATAATCTGTTGCGATGACGGAATGACGAACGTTATTTTTAAGTAGTGGAAATTGTATATAGAATGAATTTTTAAATACCTAAAAGGTTACCAGGCCTCAAAGGCTAGGGATTATTTGTAAGCGTCAATTCCTATAAAATCAGATCAATCACCAGAATCCATACTACTTACCGAATTATCATTACTTTTGAAAAATTCTGGGTGACTTTCTAGAGCATGACCCAAACGACTGAGCAAATTAGCACGACCCTCCAATCCCTCCAAAGGATTATTCTCGTCGACCTGGAATGCCAAACGTACATCTTCCACGCTAATATTTAGGAGTTTATGTGCTAACGGTTATGTGCCCATATATAAATTAGTCAAACATAAATATACGAGACGTTATATGACTGAACGCGTACCATCAACCTGATACGGTTGAGAGCTTGAAGAAGAAAAGGCTCCCGACTTGAACATGTATAACGATGCTAAAGCCAATCCTTCTGATCGGCTATAGGTATTACCGGTTTCCGGTTCTTTATACGTCCATGCGTTACCGGCACCAGCATCCAATAGAACAGAAACTACAAACAAATCTAAAAGTCGACGCGTTATTTCCAACGTATCGCAGCCAATCTTCCATTCTTCTATCAGAGTTTGAACTCGATCTTTTCCTCCAACTTCAAAGTGACGCCAACGGCCGTGCGGTGGAATGTCACTAATTTGTTTATAGTCACGCTTAATTAGAAAGATTACTTTGGAGACTACTACTTCAAGTTTTGAAAAGTCTACTTTGAAATGATTGAGTGCGTTTGCTTCTGCTTTTTCGTAAACTTTTTTTGCCCGTTCACGAATGGCTTTAAGGCTCTTGAGATACTTTATTTGTTCTTGCACTGTGTTTTCGGAAGACATAATCACACCAAAAAATATTAAGTTGTGCAAGTTGTTAATTAAGGCGTGCACAAATACGTATTAATTAATAGTATCTTAAGAGAAAAGATTTTCACAAAACATTAACCGTTTATTGGTTTCAATGTGAATGAGGCTAGCTTTAATAACGACTTTTTTTCACTCAAAAATAAACTAAAATCATCCTGATTTAAATTAAAACCTAAATCTCGAAAGATGATAATTACCGGGAGATATATAAAAGGATAAGATGTAACGGTATATACAGTATATTTCAACGATAATCTTTTTTTTTTTATGCTAACTTTTTTTATTCAAATATATTATTAATTAAAAGAATTTAATATATAAATAATTTCAGAAGTTGATAATAATAATAATTTTATATTATTATTAATTAATTAATTAATTAATTAATTAATTAAATTTTATAAATAAAAAATTTTTGAATAAAGCAATATAAGTTTTTCTTAGTAACAAGCAATGATATGTATTAATATTTCTTAAATATCAAATTGTTTTATATTGTAAAAAATAAAAGAATAATATAATAGTACTAATAATATTACAATTAAATTATATAATAATTGAATTTATAGAAAAAAAAAAATATCAAAAAAATTTTTTTTGTAAATAAACATTATTTCTTTATTTGATTTGTATATAACAAGATATATATTATGAAAGAAACAATATTTTTCATATACTGATACAATAAGTTAAATATTAGTTTGCTTATAGTAACTATACAACTAATATTAAAAAAAAAAATTTAAACTAATATATTCTATTAAATGATATCAAACAGTTATAAATATTTATTTAATATTAAGAAAATTAAAATTCAAGTTAAAAGATAAAGATATTAAACTATAAATATATTTGAAATAATTATAATTAAATTAAATAAATATATTAGTAATAATAAAAAACAAATCAATAATAATATTTTTTTATAGATTAGTATTAAGTATATCTTTAACTTATGAAATATTCTTGTTTTTTAATTTAAAAAAATTGAAAAAATTGAAGAATTTAAAATGATTCTACTTAATTTCAATAAGAAATGAGATATTAGCTATAAAACAGTATAGTTTTTAGATCAAGTTATATAATTGAATTAAGAATTTTGTTACTGTCTTAATCCAATTAATAGAAGTTGAAATAAAAAAGATTTTATTATTATTTTGTATAATAATTCAATAACTTGTTATATATAGTATATAAGATAGATTTATAATTATTATTTGAATAAAGAATTTGATTAATAATCTTGATAATTTGATCAGTTGTCTATAAGACCTTGATATATTTAAAAATATATTAAATATCTTTAGTGCAAAACTTATATTTTGAATAAAGGATATCTGAATATTAACTAAAATAAAGTTAATAAAATATATGATGAATAGAAAAAGTATAATAATACAAATAGTGAAATAAGTGATACAAATTATATATATTGCTGAAATTTGTAAATTCTTAATGCAATTGATACAATTATTTGATGCAATTATTTGATGCAATTTTTGATACAATTAATTGAGTCACTATTAAAACATATAAATAATTGAGTCACAATGTAATTATTTTTAAGAATTTTAGGAATTGAGTAAATAGCAAATAATTTATACCACATGTATAATATAAACAAGTCAATAGAAAGAACATTACAATTGAAATACAATTATTTAAATTATATATCTTTAGGATATCTGAAACTTGAAATATTAATAGGACTATATTTCTATAAGTTATATAGATATTTGTTACATCTTGTAATAACTAGAACTCGAATTAAATATGGAATTATCATTGGTATTTGATAAATATTAATAGAATCTTTATTATTAATCTTATTTGACTTATTTGAATTATAAGAAATATTTTTATAAATAATTTGATACTATATTAATTAATTGTATTAATTAATGTTTATTATTTGTTTTTATTTATTTTTATCTTTTATTATATGCATATAATCTTTGAAAAACCAATAAGATTATATATATTATATTTAATTTTTTTTTTGTGTTTAACCAGCTAGGCCTTGCCTAGTGTACCTTATTATTTTATTCACATATGTATTTTATGTATTACAGGAACTATATTTATAAACAATTCTACGTATCACTAGACTATATTGATTTTACTTCATATCGGCTTATTACTGTCAGTATTATTCCAGAGAAATTGTGCTAAGGCTAATGTGCCAAAGCCCCATTAGTATTATTATTATATTATTATGTTCTATTTGGTATTGTATAAATTTTAAGGAGAAGTTTGAATATAGGAAATTGGGGATAGTACCTGTTTTTGGCAAATAGAATTACTACAGAAAGAATCCTTTTAAATCCAACCATCTGCAAATAGGTGTACCATTTAATTTCCACTTTCTTAAAGCTACCCAAGAACATTTAAGAAACTTATTTCATAGACTTACTGTCTATAGATTGTTTCAGCTATCGGTACTTATTGCTGTTTTGGCTGCCTTCTTGGAATAGGTAACTGTTGAAGCGATTTATTATTGAATTGAAATAAGGCCTTTCTGAAAACTTGCAGGAAGAGACACCAGGTACCACAGAAAAATGATTATTAAGCTATTTTTATCAAAAACAGACATCTTATACACCTTACAACTTCCAGTGATTATTATAATACCAACCAGGTGATTATCATGCCACAACACCTTTTCTGGAAATCACAATCTCAATATTCGCTGAATCAGTATGTGAAATAGCTTCTCATGAGAAACAGCGTTTATACAGGTTATAGTGTCAGATACCATATTAATTCTATTAAACTGCCCTTATATAAGGTTGAACTGGTATCTTGTGATTTGACCTGTGGAGTGTTAACTACTACACTACAGACCTACAGGTCTATATTATATTCAATTATATATTATTGCTTTATTTATTTATATAGAAAAATTATTTATATAAAGAAACTCTTTTTCTTTTGGAAAATAATAGAGTTGTTTGGTTTTTCTTATATTTAATAAAGTTTTCTTTTATTAATCCTAACATTATAATATTTCCATATATTAAATATTACAAAAAATTTTTGAAAACAGTTTAATTCTGAATATAACTAAAGTACTATATTTGTTATTGTATATTTTTGTTAGATTGATTAATTACTTTTAAGTCATATGGAATATGTATTAATCCAAAAGTTCAAATAACAAAAGAGTCTTTACAGATCATATAATCTCTAGTAATATTAAAGATTTTTTTATATTATCTAATATTACTTTCTAGGTAAGTATTATTAATTAAGAGAATTTAAGAAAATATAGTAAAAGGTTATTTTATTAAATAGTTCTAGTCAATACTGATTTGAACTTGAATTTAATATATATAATTTCTATAAATATATATTAATTTATTTTTTGAATTAAAAAGAAATAATTGATAATTATAATATAAAAATATATTTAAAAGATAAATAAAAATATATATTATTAATATATAAGTTTTTATTAATTTTTTTAGAAGATTTTATATTATACATGTGATATAAATTATTTGATATTAACTCAATTCCCAAAATTTTCAAAAATAATTATATCATGATTAAATTATTTATATGTTTTAATAGTGGTTCAATTAATTGTGTCAATTGTATTAAGAATCTATAAATTTTAGTAACATGTATATTTTATATATTATAAATATAAAATAATAAAATAATAAAAATAAAATAAATATTATATACTGTATGTTTAATAATATTTTTTATTTTTTAAATAATTATAATTATAATTAATAATAAAAAATAAACAAAAATATATTAAAAAATTTTATATTATTTTAAAAAATTCCAAGATATTTTAAAAAATTTCAAAAGTTTTTTAAAGTTTTATAATATTTAAAAATATTTTAAAATATCTTAAAAGTTTTCAATTATATAAAATATAATATTATAAAAGTAAAAAAATTGTTATATTTAAATTTAAAAAAAATACTCTTTTAATTAGGGTTTCTAATGATACTATTTTGATATCAAGTTGATATTAAATTTACTATGAGTTTAATATAATAGGTCACAATCCATATATTAAATTTATTATAAGTTAGTACCATTTCAGTATTCAGTTTGGAATTTTACTTTTAATTATATGTTTTGTTAAAAATTTTTCTTTTATAGTAATTTTAAGTAAGAAAAAATGTTTTATACTCTTTATTATAAATAAGTTTTAATTTAAGAATTTAAGAACCTTTAAAATAACTGATACAATAGAATAAAACTTCTGATCAAAGTCTATTTAAGTTTGAAAGTCTTGTATCCTTTGGTTGTATAAGAAAAAGCTTATAGTAATTTTTTATTTTTTTGTTTTCTTATACCTTTTCTATTTTTATTTTATTATAAAATCTATTTATATTATTATTATCATATTTGTTAAACCAAATATTTTTTAAAACATATACTTAAATAAAGTTAATAGGTCTACTGTTTGTTTCAAGTTAACTTTTAAATTCAACCATATCATAGTAATACTTATTATATCATTTCAAATTTTTCAATATTTTTATCTGATCAAAAAACCAAAATCAGTTTATCTCCTTTAAATAATCAGTATTCATTAATTATTTAATCAGATTTTACTTAAAAATCAAAACAAAAACCAATCTGTTTAAACTGGATTTATATCACAACAATAACAATTATAATAATATTATTAATTATAATAACAATATAAATTATATTATTATTGACAACTATAACAATAAATAATAATATTATGTATACTTTATTATCTATAGTAATTAAAAAACTAAAGAAATAGAACAATAAGCTTGTTTAGGATTTTATTAAAAAAATAATTGGTTTTTTACTTATAGATTTTATAGTTTATTTTATTTAGTTTTAATTTTAATTATGTTTATTTTTTTTTATTTTTTATTACTTTATTTATAAATTTATAAAAAAACATTATAAATTATTGAATAAGTAGATATAATTATTATTTAGATATAGCTAATATATAGTATTATTTT